AAGATTTCAATGTGCTGGTACGAAAGGTTTCTTCCCTTTCCTTCCCAGCCAGAGGTTGAATGAAAACTGGCTCCACCTCTGCAGTTATTACGGCTACGGGGAAAACAATACCCATTGATACCAATGGAAGCATTCTTTTACATTCTGACAACTGCTTGGGATTTTTTTTTCTTGGAATGACTAAATCTTGCCTCTCCATATGCTATGGCAGCACTGAAAATTTCACTGTTCCCTGGATTGCTGATATAAAAAAAACACATCCAGGTGTGGTTGCTAACAATGGCTGGCATCCTGTTCAAGAGTCCCTGAGGTGCTGAATTTTGAGTCAATTGAAAATTATGATAGAACCACTCTCCAAATCATGAGAGAAGCTGAGACACACAGCTATAAGAGGGGCACGGCTTAATTTAAGAGTTACTGGTTTTTGGAGTAAAATTGAATGAAGCAACAACTGAAGCAACTAACTATCATAATGGAGGATTACAGTCCACACTATTAAAATAATCACAGAAACATAGAATTGGAAGAAACTACAAGGGCCAAACCCCTTCTATGTAGGAATCAAGGCACTCCTGGCAGATGCCTATCTAGCCCAGAGGTTTTCAAACTTTTTCAGCCACAGAAAAAAAGTTTCTCATGGAGTCCAAAAATAATGTTTAATATATTGTATTATATATTGTATTATACATAAGGTGTGTGTGTGTGTGTGTATGTGTATATATATATATATATATATATATATATATATATATATATATATATATCAGGCATGGGCAAACTTTTTGATGCATTGTGTTTTAAAATTTGACAGATGGGCCAGGCCAGTGGCAGATGGATGGAGAGTGTCTATGTGAACTAACTGAAAAAAAAAACAACCATGAACAAATTCCTATGCACATTGCATATATCTCATTTGTAGTGCAAAAAAGGGAAATAAGATCAATATAATATTGAAAATGAAGAACAATTTTAACTAACATAAATGTAACAATATTTCAGTGGAAGACCCCTGGGGCCATCCAGTCCAACCCCCTTCTGCCATGCAGTAAAAGCACAATAAAAGAACGCCTTGAGTGGTGGGAAGGAAATAGGATTATGGAAGAAAGGAAGGCAAGGGGAAAAGGCTTTTGGCAACAAGGGAGGTGGGGGGAAGGGGGAGAAGTTGAAAAGAGATAGGAAAGCTTGGAAGGGGAGGAGGAAACCGTGGAGCCCCTCAGTATGCTTCATGGAGTCCCAAGGGCTCCATGGAGCACACTTTTGAGAACTGCTGATCTAGCCTGTTCAAAAAGAAGTTGACCCCACCACAGTCCAAAGGAGCATATTCCATTATGAACAGTCTTAGCATCAGGAGGTTTCACCTAATGTTTAAGTGGAATCTCTTGTCCTGTAGTTTGAATCAATTGCTCCAAGTTCTAATATATGGAGCATCAGATTCCAACCTTGCTCTCTCCTCAATATGACATCCTTTCCCATATGAAAACATGGCTGTCATGTCACTTCTCAAGGGGAAGTCATAGGGAGGAGAGAGCAAACTTGCTTTCTGCTGTCCTGGAGACTAGGACATGGAACAATGGCTTCAAACTACAGGGAAGGAGATTCCACCTGAACATTAGGAAGAACTTCCTAACTGTGAGAGTTTTTCCAGCAGTGGAACTCTCTACCCTAAAGTGTGGTAGAGGCTCCTTCTTTGGAAGCTTTTAAACAGAGACTGGATGGCCATTTGTTGGGGGTGCTTTGAATGTGATTTTCCTGCTTCTTGGCAGGGAGTTGGACTGGATGGCCCATGAGGTCTCTTCCAACTCTATGATTCTATTATTCTTATCCTTAAAACCACACCTTTTAGCATTGTGGTTGCACTCCTTGCGCTTTTCTCAGCTTTACTCTCTCAGAATATCATGTACAGAAAAATAATGAAAACATTTATTGAACCGACTGTATAGTGCAGCTAGTTGCTGATGCAAAATCTATTGTCTTGTGCTCTACTCCAAGCACGATAGTGAATAGACTGCATTTCAATTCAAGAAGCAAAACTACTTTTAATTTATTATTTTAATCAATGTAGTTACCCTTGCATACAGCCAAGCTCGATTAACATTTTTAAAATACCTAGGTCCTGTTTTAAAATTCACCAGCATCTTAAATCCAAGGAAATTATCAAATTTCCCCATGGAAGAAACGTATTTAAATGTGTTGAATATTTTAGTAGGATTATACGTGTTATAAAACATGATTTTTTTCTGAAAAAACCCCTAATCTCTGAAGCTTATTTCTGTAAGAAATTAAAACTCTGGATGGACTTAATGTGTTTGCCAGTGTTCATTTTTGTCAAGACTGGTAGTTTTGACAGTGAAGGCAACTGCCTTGAATTTAATATTGGGAGGCCAAACAGCAGAAGGTATGGCACATCAAAAGCATATGTTGCTCTCTCTTTTTCCCAAGGGTTTGGGAGGATATGTCAAAACAACATGCATTTATTTATTTATTTTACAAAAAACAAGTGGTTAGCTCTCCTTGCTAGATTGATTCACTCTTCACACTTTACAATGAATACTTTACTTGCAGTATCAAGGTCATTTGAAAACAGACTTGCTTTTGCATTTATTTCCAAGAGAAAATGAGAAGGAAATGAATGCAGCTGTTCTAAACCACCCAGAGTGGTTTAGTGATTGCCAGGTTGGATTACGGTCAGGGAGAACACCGTTCAAATTCCTATGGAGGTGACCATGGGCCATAAACCTATATGTGAGTTATATTAATTCTACTGTTTTATTTGCTTGCTGTTTTGTTTTTACTGATGTGCTGTTGTGCTTGGCCTCATGTAAGCTGCCCTGAGTCCCCTTGGGGAGATGGTGGCAGGGTACAAATAAAATTTTATTATTTATTATTATTATTACTGAACATTACTGCAAAAACCACACATCATTGTGAGGAGAAAATAAAAAATGGGGAGCAGAATTATTCCTGAGAAACACAGGGTACAGACATAACAAATCAATTCAATTGGGAAGAGCTACAACACTCCATGGATATGACAAAACAGTCACAACAAATTGCAAGGATGCTTCTGGTGATTTCTCTTGCTGCAAGAGGGCGGAGGGTGGGTGGGATAGAAAATATGAGGAAGGTAGACATTTATGCATTGAAAATAATATAGTAGGCATTTGCCTCCATTTACTATTGGAAATTCCATAATCTATTGCAAACAAGTGCACCATAACCTTATTGAAATGGTAAAAATGATGTCACCTCCATTTGGCAAATGTGAATCTCCATGAACACGTGGAGACCATCTTTGAACACTAGTCAAGAAAAGCATTACTTTGTTAGAAGTCAACTCTTTGAAAAAGTGATATTCATAAACATTCACGTAATGGCACACAGGTAACTCAGCTGTTAAACTGAAGAACCATGTCTTTAAACTGCCAAGGATAAAGACATGCCACTACAAAATATATATTTGGTTAGTAGAGGATGGTTGTTTCTTTGAAGTAGAATTTGCCCATCTACTCTCCCTTAAAAACCTCTTATTTAAAATATGCACTCAGAGATTTAAAAAAGTCTCCTTTGAAAAATAACATATCAGGGTTACTAACAAACTTCTTGTATATATTCAGCATACAGGCACATAGTCCAATGTCTTCAAGCATGTACTGTAGATCTAGTCCCAACTGTACTCACTGAAGTCTGAAAGGAGTCACACTACATCGACCTCCATTGAGGTTTAAAAGCATACTCTATACAAAATGGACTCCTGAGTTTGCACATGCTCAGTACGACCACATGTCTATAACTTCTCACACACCAAAGAGGTACAGACAAACTGGCAAACCAAAATGTACATACAATTTAGTTTAACAATTGTTGTTGTTGTTCATTCATTCAGTCATTTCCGACTCTTCGTGACCTCATGGACCAGCCCACGCCAGAGCTCCCTGTCGGCCGTCACCTCCCCCAGCTCCTTCAGAATCAAGCCAATCACTTCAAGGATGCCATCCATCCATCTTGCCCTCTTCCTTTTCCCTTCCTTTTTTACTTCCATTTTCCCCAGCATAATTGTCAATTAACAATTATACACATTTACAAACAGTTGGGGTTTGTATTTCCAACATTTACCACTTGCTTTAGCTGTATCTGTGCCGATATAAAACACTTACTACACACACCACCACAAGCTCCCTTAGAACAATCTTCAAATGCGTGGATGTATTCATAATAAATATTAATCCTCTGAAACTGACAAGGCAAGCATGATCTTGTAATGATCTTCAACATGCCACATGTACGAGTAAGATCGAAAATAGGCCCTCTGAATCTAAGTTAACTCTGATGTATGACAAAGACATTTCTTCTCATTTGATTCTTGATATAACAGCATATAATTCAGCATGGTTATATAAGGCAAAGAGAAATGTGGATTTGTTCATAGAATAACTGGGTGACATACAAAATACAAGGCCATTGGGATGTGATCGGCCCAGATCAATAACTTTAAATCACAAAATCGGAACAGGTATAAAAGACTGGCAAAAGGTGTGCATCTAGCTAATTTTTGGAAGGAAAAATATCCTTTGCTAGGGTCCAAAGGACATGTAACTCTGGCTGACTTGAAGCTAAACAATTTGTGCTTTGAAGGCAAACTCAACTGCAATGTCATGGTTGAAAATCCCAGTGGAAGGCACTCTAAACAAATATTGGGGGGTTCCCCCCCCTCACAGAATGTCTGCTGATAATCATAAACAATATCTTCTATATGCACCTCACTCCTGTTTTCGTCTTCTACACAGCAACAACACTTTGACTCTTTTGTTGTTACACCAGAAACGGTGTCATACCAAGGCAATTTAGTCCAGTATTGTCTACTCTGACTACAGCATCTTTTGTAACACTTGTTGCCAGGTCATTTTAAATTGCAGATGCTAAGCACCCTCAGCATGCACATCCCAAGTCTGCATGCCAATTTACACAACTCTTTTTTTACCACACATGGATTACATCCTCACCTTAGCCTTCTTTTTGCTGGCATCCATAATCCACTTCCAGTCTGATCCATTGTAGCTGTATCCAAGCTTGAATTTCCTCATGAAGACTTTGTTCTCTCTGTGTTTGCCTCCCTGGACAATGATGCCTCGTACTATCTTCTCTTCACTGAGGTCTGCTTGGAGCCATTCCTTTGAATATGTGTGTGTGGCAGGTGGGGGTAAAGCCCATCCTACTCGACTAGTTATAAGACGGACATTTTCAGGCATCCAGTTTCTTTCAAATTCATTTGAAGCAGTAATCTGAGAGTCTGTTATTAGACCTGATACCATACCCAGCATGCCAGAGCAAGGATAATCTAAAGGAAAAAGACAAGTGGAGGAGGGAGAGAAGGAGGAAGAATAATGTATTTATATATATAGGGCATTTTAAGTGTTCAAAGCACTTCACATGAGCTTTTTAAGTAATTCTTTCAATAACCACACACAATAGATCAGTGGACTAGATGAGATTTGATTTACTTATAGGACAATCATATATCCTATGAATGTAGAACATCCAGTTGATGCTGTGAGCCAGGAACTAAAGGAAGAACTACTTTGCAACATTGGGGGAGGGGGCAGTGGCCAAATGCACCCATCACCTAACTCCATGCTTATCAAGTCCAACTGCTTAAATTTTTCCTATATATTCCTTCTTGAAATAGCAATGAGAAATGATGTGTTGTCGCTTTCTGACTCTATTTAGAGAAGTACTACAGAGGAAAATTCAACTATTGGGTGGTAATGGACCCATTACCATCCAATAGTGAAATTTTCCTCTGTAGGGCAGCTTGGGAGTAAGTTATATTGATGTGGGTGCCTCTGTGTATTTAAAATTTTTTTGGAGGAGGGCTCTGAAGAATCATAGAATCATAGAGTTGGAAGAGACCTCATGGGCCATCCAGTCCAACCCCCTGCCAAGAAGCAGGAAAATCACATTCAAAGCACACCCAACAGATGGCCATTCAGCCTCTGTTAAAAAGACTCCAAAGAAGAAGCCTCCACCAAACTCCGAGGCAGAGAGTTCCACTGTTGAACAGCTCTCATAGTTAGGAAGTTCTTCCTAATGTTCAGGTGGAATCCCCTTTCCTGTAGTTTGTAGCCATTGTTCCGCATCCTAGTCTCCAGGGCAGCAGAAAACAAGCTTGCGCCCTCTGCCCTGTGACTTCCCCTGACATATTTATACATGGTCATCATGTTTTGCACGCAAAACATGCCCAGCTCTTTAAGCAACTCCTCACAGGGCTTGTTCTTCAGACCCTTGATCATTTTAGCTATCCTCCTCTGGACACATTCCAGCTTGTCAACATCTCCCTTCAATTGCTGTGCCCAGAACTGGACACAGTATTCTAGGTGTGGTCAAACCAAGGCAGAATCGAGGGATAGCACAACTTTCCTGGTTCTAGACACTATACTCCTATTTATGCAGGCCAAAATCCCATTGGCATTTTTTGCTGCTGCATGACATTGTTGGCTCATGTTTAACTTATTGTCCATGAGGACTCCAAGAACCTTTTCACACATACTGCTATTGAGCCAGGCCTCCCCCATTCTGTATCTTTGCATTTCATTTTTCTGCTTAAGTGGAGTGTCTTGCATTTATTTTTGTTGAACTTCATTTTGTTAGTTTTGGCCCATCCCTTTAATCTGTTAAGATCATTTTGAATTCTGCTCCTGTCTTCTGGGGTATTCACTATCCCTCCCAATTTGGTGTCACCTGCAAACTTGATGATCATGCCTTCTAACCCGCCATCTAAGTCATTAATAAAGATGTTGAATAGGAACGGATCACTTACAATTTCCAATTGAAAATTCAATGTCATTTTCAGAAATATGTACAAATTTCTGAAAATGGCATCAAATTTCAATTGTTTTTTAAGGGTTGGGGGATGGTCAATGGATTTTCAGAAAGGTTGTAAAAGTGGGAATCTCTCCTTGGCTCGGTGATCCTATTTGCCTGTTCATTCAGGCATAAGTCTCACTGTGTTTGGCATATGTTACTGGAAGGTAAATCTACAGAAGACTGCAGTTTTCTTATATTTATTTCTTGTTCTGAATAAATATTTGTAAAACAAGAATAGTTAACGCCAGTTCTATTTATAAGAAAAAGAGACCTTAGTCCTTACCTGTTATTTTGCATCCATATACTTCAAATCTTAGTGATATCCCTGTTTCCCAGCTTGCAGGTTTGATTCGAACAAAACGTGTTAGGACTGGTTTGGGAAATGGTCTGTACGCGACATCAGTGGGATTGATGTTTCCGATGAACACCTACAGAAAAAGAGGAAGCCATATTTATTATTTATTTATTTATTTATTTATTTACTTCATTTGTTGACCGCCGCTCTCAGCCCTGGGGCGACTCGCGGCGGTGTACAACATGTAAAAACAGTCTACAAAAACATACAATATATCAACAACCAAATTACACATTAATCTAAAACCCATAAAATTTCTCTTGAATATATCTTTAAAGATATGATAGTTAATAACAGTAAACAGGTTTCATGGAGTGTGGGTAAGGGATATGGATAAAAAAGCACCATGATCATTGAGTTCCTGTGACTTGTGAGGACTTTGCTCATGTGTGCTTTTGTTTTGGAATTAAGGTGACCCTACTTGTCAAGATTTCTTCAGAAGGGGTTTGGCTTCCCCTGAGATTAAGGGAATGTCACTTGTCGAAGGGTACCCAATGGATTCCCATACTTGAGCTGAGTTTCAAACCCTGATATCTAAAGTCATGATCTAACTCAGACATGGGCAAACTTTGGCCCTCCAGGTGTTTTGGACTTCAACTCCCACAATTCCTAACAGCCTGTAGGCTGTTATACAATGCTGGATAAAATGAAGGCCATAGCTATATATGCAAGTGTTTAGGGCTCCTCTATTTTTTTTAATCTTTTGGCTATCAAGGGTATTAATGGTTTTTATTTCTGTTTACTTGGTTTTTAACAAACTTTCTGTAGTATTTACTTATGAACTGGTATGTGTTTTTAATCTTTCTTTACTTTATTTACAGTATTTGTATTTTATTTGCGGTATTTGTATATGGCTCTTCTCAACCCCGAAGGGGACTCAGGGCGGTTCATAGTGTTGGCAACAATTCAATCAATAAAAAACAGTATAAAACTTCAAGATTCACCCTCCCATGATAAAACATTAAACGTTATTAAACACAGCACATAAAATAGCATCACATATGACACAAAGGCAAAGCTGTTGTCCGTAAACAGTCGTGGGTCAGTGCACTTTCAATTTTCATTTTAACTTTAAATATTCCTATGAGTTTTGTAAGCTATGTATGTCCCAAATTGAAGCAGGATATCTATACATTTTCACTGAATTTCTCTCATCAAGTCAGAGAAATGGTAATGCCATACAAAGATAACATGCATCTGTTTCGATCGTTTAAAGAATATCTACGGAAGAAACTCGAATTCCCCATTGACTGGGTTTAAGGAAGGTGAGTAATTTCCTTCTTCATTAAACAATGCTAAACACCAATTTCCTGATCTTATGCATTTTGCCTTTTATGGGTAGGACTTCTTACACCTTCTCCAAGTTTCCTGTTTTGTGCTTTGCACAGAAAGGAATAGACCAAAGGAAGTTGGTTATCTCTTCAAACAAACTATACTACAGCTTATCAACCTGTGCACTTAACTTAATCTTCACCTTCATGGTGGAATCAACCCAGTTAAAACTATTTATTCTCTCTTTCAGTTTATGGCAACTTATTGCACTAAATATTCCATGGTTTGCACCTTCTGTATTCGATCCGTTTCTTCCATTACTATCTTGCTAAGAATAGCTCTTTATTTCAAAATGGGAAGGAAGTAGCCATGGAAGAACATCAGTATAAACGTCTTGCAAACATTGACTATCTTTACTATCAACCATCTGTTCAAATTATTAATATTAATTGCACAGGGGAGCTGGGCCAAGGACTGTAGAAAAGCCATGGCCTTCTTCTATAAGAAGACAAACAGGATGAAACAGCAAGGCTGCTATCTTTTGTACATGATAAGAAAGTGTCCTCAAAGTACAAGTGTTGCTTTCTGCAAGTCTTTTTAGAATGAGCTAAGCATCAATACCAACAGTGAGGGATATTTTAGACTAGTGGTTCTCAAATAGTGGGTCCCCGGATGGTTTGACCTTCAACTCCCAGAAATCTTAACAGCTGGTAAACTGACTGGGATTTTTGGGAGTTGTAGGCCAAACACCAGGGGACCCACGGGTTGAAAACCAGTGTTTTAGACTTTGCTTAATCTTGGTGCCTGTATCAAATCAAGCACTAGATATCCATCTCTTTCAATGACAAAAATCTGTCTGCTGCACCCTCCAAAAAGAGAATCTTATGCAAATCCTTCTCTTAAAACACAAAAAGGCTGTGACGTGAAAAATATTTATAACCGGACTAACTTTGTGAAAACTGTGGCAATGAACTGGCGCTGTATTTGCCAATTGCCAGACTTCATAATTCAATACAGGCAGCCACCACGTTGTGAACAACAAAGGTTCTGTTGGTTCATTCATAAGCTGAACTTGTATGTAAATTGGAGCAGATACATTTTTTAAGTGTAACTATAGCCAATTTATAAAAAGTGTTGGATAGCATGGGGAACATTTGTTTTGCTGTCCGCGCCCCTGTTCAGAAGATTTTACCTCACTTTCTGTCCCTGTGACAATTCGATTTTTGAAAACTTTGGGTTGTTGTGGAAACAAGGATTGGTGATAAAGCTTCCGTGGAGGAACCTTTTCCCCATGATAACTCTTCCAGGAGTGAATTTTCCTTCATAGGGGTAGATTTAACTCACTTCTTGCTGTCTCATGCCCTTTCTTAACTATGAGTTGTTCGTAAGTAATTTGTAACATGAGAACTGTCTATAGTCTTCCTCTTGTCAAGACTCTACCATTAAGAAAGACTCTGTTCAGACAATTTGCCATATATGCCTGTTTTACTCGGTCACTCTTATGGGTCTTAATATAATTTTCTCTTAGGGCAAACAGATGTGAAGTTAAGTTGGTTGCCTTTTTTATTTAACAGTCATACAAAATGCAGTTATTAAATAAAAAAGTGGCAGAGTGAATAGTGCCACAGTACTTTTAGATCAGATTACTACTCAATGAAATGAGATTTTGGAAGGGTCACTCTTCTGGATTCAGAATCTTTCAACTAGCACACAAGTGACTCTGGGAATGCTGCTCTAAAAACTCCATTTGGTCAGTTGAAGGCGATTTCCATAGCTTACACACATAGTTGCACACATAAGAGATATTAAAAGTTAGCCTATGTCTTCTCACACAATGCCATTTTACTACTATTTTGTAGCCATATCTATACAACTTTTTATCAGTACCATTCATCTTCACCCTGCCTTATGGCAACCCCATTGATTTCATGGGATTTTCTTAAGAAAGAATTACAGGTGGTTTTGAAAGTACAGTTATTCATTGACAGCCTCCCATCCACATACTAACTAAGGTCAATCCTGCTTAGCTTCCAAGATCAGATGGAATCTGGTGCCTTTAGGTCATTTAGGGAGTTCACAAATTAAATAATAGCGAATCTTAACATGTTAAGCCCTGCTGAATCTACCTCTGACTAGACCTTTATAACTACATAAAGGATCAAAACTTTCTGAAAGAACAGTCTCTGAGGTTATCAGCAAAGGTCTTTCTCACCTGTGAGCTGTCAAAGGTATTTAGGCTGGTCATAAGGGACATAAAATTCTTTTAAAACCCACAGGTTGTTAAGATCACAGCATGGATGAAAACCCTTACCAATGGTTTATTATTTCCATCTTTAACAGAAATCCAGTCTTCTCCATTAGAACTAATATCCACTCGGTATGTTTTCAAAAAGTATTTTTTCTTTGTTTCTTTTGAAATAGCTCCTTGGGTCCCAATGGCAGAAACGAAACGGAGGAGGCCCAGGTCCACCTGAAGGGATAAACATGGAGAGAAGTGAAACATGACTATTGGTCCTGATGTCTCATGCTTTGATTCAGCAATGTGATCCAACAAGTGTAACTATTTTTTCATGCACAGAAGATTCCTCCTTTTGTGAGGAAAATGGTCAGAGTACTTTCCCTTGTGTGTGCAATTGAAACTGGAACTCATAAATGTGGAAAAAGAGAAGGGTTTCCCAGTGCTGTTCTTCATATAAACAATATTTGTACAGGTACATGGATGGGCATAACCTATGAACAGATATTTATTTTGTGCCCATTTGTTCTTGACAGTTTTATCCCCCCAGTCCCCACATCTGGGGGCAATCAATTATTTCATTGTGATGGTGCACGTGATGTTTTCATGTTAATCTGCATCTACAGAACCATGGCTAGTAATGGTGCATGTAGCTGTCTAGTTACAATTCCCCTAAGCCTCCACCAAATTTCAAAAGTCTGTCTGGAGCAACAGTCTATGACAGGCATTCTCAAACTGTGGCCCTCCAGCTGTTTGGGCCTTCAACTCCCAGAATTTCTGACAATTGAACAAGGTCATAGGGCTTCTGGAAGTTGGAGGCTCAAACAGTTGGAGGGCCGCAGTTTGAGGATGCCTGGCTATGAGATGAGAAGGGTTATAGCTAGAATGGAAAACCATCAAATCCCTCTAAAATGTGTGCATGAAACCACTTTGTGTATGAATGCCGAGGTCCCTGAGAGTCCCATAGTGGCAGTTTGCTGGAGAAGCAAATAGATCAGGGGTTAAATGACAACAGGAATCCAGGATAAAATGTTGTCTTCTGTATATGTTTTTTTTAAAAAACTAGGCACATACAGAGAGAGGGAAACATGAAAGAGATGTTTTTCATTTCTGCGTAAGACTATTTTGCAACCAATCATACTTTTTTATCTCAGATTCCAAAATATGTGAAAACATTTACTTAACTAGTCATGAGGAACAAACACTTAACTAAAAGAATGTCTTAAGTATCACTATAATCAAAACCAAGCTTCTCCTTTCCTTTAAAAAATGTAGTATTTAAGGACTAGCTAAACTTGTTTGAGATCACATTTTCTTCAGCCAGTTTCCCTCCAAGTATGCAGATGTTGGCATAGTGCTTTGACTCTACTTTTGCTAAAATGCCTTTTGCGCGTCACAAGATTTCAAATTATTTTTGAAACATGCAGGATGCAGATTGTATGTCTCTAGTGTCCCACAAGCATCCTTTTTCCTGGAAGTATGTCATGCATCCAAAAGCAAGTGTGGGGGTGAAGAGGGTGGGTGGATGGGTTAAATCAACATGCTTGGCATTCTCTTAGGGAAACTATGAAGGAAACCTGACTGAAGACAGAAGGCTGCTGTTTAGATTTGCAAGGCAAATATGCAAGTCCCGAGACATTAAAAAGCCAGTATCTTTTTGAAACAAAATGCTGATTTTGGTACCTTCGCTAAAGCTTTTTTAAGGCTATCAAAACCCAGTCTTGCATTTTACAACTGTTCATGAAAATTCATCCAGGGAAAAAGCCCAAACTGTATTGGTGGTGGGGCATCAGAGTGGCCTTAAGATCAAAGATGTCATGCAAAACAAACAATGGAGTAACAGTTTCAAATTCCTATGAACATCCCTGTGCTTTTGTGAAGTGCCTGCTGCCTGGCTTACTGCTTCACTTGTTGTTGGTGTGCCATTAAGAAGTTTCTGACTTATGGCAAACCCATCACTGGGTTTTTTGGGACTGAAAATTGCCCAGGGCTACACAGTGGATTTTCATGCCAAGCAAGGATTTGAACCCAGATCTCCACAGTTGTAATCCAACACTCAAATCACTATGCTAGGCTGGCTCTTATCTCCTCCAATAAGCAAATATTAAAATTAGTAAATTCTGTCCTATCTCTGCATCAAATGATTTTGGAGGAAAGCCACCTTGAACACTTAAAGATGGAAAGGAATATAAAAGCAAATAAATACAATTACTTCCAAAATGCACACACACCTTGTCTATCCTCCCTTTAACCAAGGATGCCCCTTGAAATTCTACTACAGTGGAAGCATGTATTTGGCCTTGCTGCCATCCTGCCTGAAGGCACGCCCCAGAATGAGGTGTTTGATACATAGAAAATAGAAAAGTTTCTTTCTTGGACTATGACTCCCTGAAAAAGTATGGTCAATGTTTATGGGTGGCAGTTCTCATCCAAAGAGTATCTATCATAATCTCTTCTTGTGCAAAACCAGAGGTAGCGATGACTATACACCTTGTTTAAAAATAAATGTAAAGATTTCCTCTTGGCATTAAGTCTAGTCATGTCCGAATCTGGGGGTGGTGGTGCTCATCTCCATTTCTAAGCCGAAGAGTCAGCATTGTCTATAGATGCCTACAATGTCATGTGGCTGGCATGACTGCATCGAGCACCATTACCTTCCCGCCGGAGTGGTACCTATTGATCTTATATTTGCATGTTTTTGAACTGTTAGGTTGGAAGAAGCTTGGGCTAGCAATGGGAGCTCACCCCTGTTCCCGCAGATTCGAACTACCAACCTTCTGGTCAACAAGTTCTGCAGCTTAGCGGTTTAACCCACTGTGCCACCACGGCCTACATCTTGTTTGTGTCTGGAAACGAGAGGTTTTGCAGGGCCAGAAGTGGAGGTGAATGCCATCTGAGAGCAGTTCCTGGATATTGCTCACCTTTGCTGCAAATCTTTGTTCAGAAGGAAGGAAAACATGATTGCTCTTAAAAAATTGAGGATATGAGGTAGAAGAAATCCATGGTTGGTTGTGTTTTTAATGAAAATCAGGCTTACATGCTGCAATTGAAAATCTCACTTAAGCTGAAATATTCTCCAAATTGCATGCTGCTGATTGTGAAGAGAGTTGTTTTTTTGAGTTGAGTCCAGTTACAGCATTCAGTTCCCAGGCGAAGGCCACTTAAAAATCTAGGTGTAGAGCTGAGTTACTTAAATGAAATCTTTTCCTCCAAAAATTCAAATAGCTCTTGAGTTTTGAAATGATTTGAGTTCATGGGTCATACTGTTCAAAGTGATTTGAAATAACTCTAAATGGAATTTTTATGTAGGGGATTTCTTTCCTTCTTCCTCTTCCCTTTTTATTTTTCTCCCCCATTAGAACAAATCAGGAAGTGCTTCATTTTAAGTGAAGTCAAGCGATGGTCTGTTCTGAGGGTTCTGCGAATTAGAAACCACAAAAACCCTTACACTCGGAGAAGCAGGAAATGGACACTTTATTATCTTTATTATCATAAAGAATTGGATGTGTTCGATTGGCCTTTTAGAGTGTTAAATGGCTTAAAATCTTGTAGGCATTAACTTGGAAGTAAGTTCCTCTGCATTTGATGAGGCCTACATCTCAGTTTATTTGAACAAATGCATTGTTAACACGAACGAAGCTCTTCTGCCACTCCAAGCTATTTCCTTCAGAAAGATACATTTCCTGTACTACAAAAATATTCAATAGACACACTTTCCATAGGTGGTTGCACTTACAAACAGATAAACATCCTTGCAAACTGCTCCTTACTTCATGCTAAATGTGGCCCTGCCTCTTCTTTCTTCCTTTTTAATTTCATCTCTGCAACAAGAAATTGGCATTGGGTTCCCATCACATCTGATTGGTTTCCTCTACCCAAGGCTATCTCCCACATACTTTATGACCAATTGGTGGAAAATATACAACAGACATAATGCTGGTGGTAAAGAGTGCTCATACTGGAGTTCTGTATTTGAGATTCCAACAAGATAGGAAATATACCAGGAACTATTAGTTTCCTAAGGACACCCCTTTGTGTGTGGTTTAACAGTCCCAGAAGGACTGGATAAGACATGCAGGAGAAGGGACACATGTACAAGTAAAGAAAAAGTCCTTCCAAACCTTATGTGTGGAAAAGGGCTAGTTGCGCCTAGATGTCCAAACTCACACGCATTTATACAATTTAGAGCACCTGCCAGGGGAATGGGAGTGTGGGTGAGGGACTTCTTCATGGCTGTGTCTGTACTCTGGGACTTCCTAGGTAGCTAAGAGGGCTCCCTCATTGCTCCCTCACTGCTGTCCTTTTGTAATACAGTTTTGGCCATTCTATTTCAGCAGGTCTTTGGAAACTCATTGTTCTGTATCAGTGGTTACCAACCTGTGGTCCGTGGATCACCAGTGGCCCCCAAGAAAGAAAATATGATCCGCGGTCTCATAATTACTACACCATTGAATCGAAACTGCGCAGCAATGAGAGCGACTGATCTCTTAAAACCCTCTTATAGTACTGAGGCAACAGGAATGTTGGGAGGGGAGAGGTTGACTATACCTGAAAGATTACTACTACCATGCCAGCTCCAGATTATTAAGTTTGATTTTATGTGGATGAGCAGATTGCTACTACTGGATGGCATATGTTCTGTATCAGAAATTAGAGCTGATGTGGTCTGTCTGATGCAATTTTCTGAATCAGCACCCCAAATAATCAAACTGAATCTAAAGTTGACCTTGTGGTACTAATTTTGGAGAGTGGTCCCCATTCAAATGGTGGGAAATGGAACCACTGTTCTATATACTTGGTTTTCTGTTAAGAGTGCTGTACTGTTTTTCAGCTATGCTTGCGACAATGTTTTATATGGTTTTGATTCTATTGATTCTATAGACTTAAAATAGAATATTTTAATTTTAACATTTTGTGCATATGTTTTAATTGTATTTATTTTATTCCGGGAGCCAGCTTGAGGCCCACTCTTTGGAAAAACGTTAGATCTAAATAAAATGATTGCAATTCAATTGACAGCTGCTTAATACCCTAATATTGTTGTTGGGTGCCTTCAAGTCGTTTCCAACTTATGGCATTTTGAAGGCAACACTTTCACAGTTTTCTTGACAAAATTTGTTCAGAGGGAGTTTGACTTGCCTGCCTCTGAAGTTGAGAGAGTATTACTTGCCAAAGTTCACAAGTGGGTTTCCATAGCCAAGCAGGGATTCTGAAGTCACTACACCATGCTGGTT